GAGCATAACATTACCCAATTAACTAAGACCATTGTACAATTCTCATTTATTATTCTTCCTCCAAGAATTAAATCCAACACCTTCGTCTATGTGCACGAATGCTTAACCTGCGGACCATTTGCCAAGTTCACAATGCGATTCGTATCTAACTGAAATAAATTCATATTAGGCTGAAGCGGCCATCTGAAAGTCGCAGGTTTTCTATGGGCGTCTAACGTAAATCGTTTCGTTCACCCAATGAAATATGGTCTAATTGATAAGACACATATCTCTTCAATAAGTTGTGTGATCAAGTCTTCATAGCGAGTACACCACCAGATGATCAATTGTATATCAAATCGGATATTAACATTATTCGAGAAAATCCGACTTACGTCTAAACATGACTAATTCACAACCATTTCTGTTGCTTAACAATTTTGATAATAGTAAGTATATCACTCTTATCATACTCAACAACATTCCTGACACGAGATAAAATCAACCAAATGGAGTATTTCCATTTCAGTCTGGCAGTTACACTTCTCTGTTAAAAACAGAACGTCTTCATCATGCTCATTACCAAAATTATTTTCATCGTCTCAATCCAAATGTGTGTAGTAAAAGAAGGTTGGGTTATTCAGTGTGATGCAATATTGAACCTGGAATATAATCAAGATGCCGGATATAATGGTTCAAATAAATTACTCATATCTGTTACTGAAAATGAGAAAGTGACTAGTCTTCATTATTATAAAAAAGTTATCCATCGAACAAGTTGTGCGAATATTCTGCACCATCCAAATATAATTCTTCAGTCCGTGATGATTTTGTGTGTTACCGTACTATGCTACTTATCAGTAAACAGTAGTGCATGACATTTATCAACTATTCATGGTGAGTACGATAAAGACAAGTAGGTCTGTACTGTGATATGACATAACATCAACCGTTCGTACTCATGTGACGATATTTGGTTTGACTTTTTAACGCGACACAAAAATTTCTATTTTATTTTTTAATTACCGAATTGCTCAATTACTCAATTACCTCAATATCCTTCAGTAAATTTTGATGGGTTCTGCACTGAAGTCACTTATGTCAACCATGTATAATGCTGGGTATAATAATCTTAATAACTGTCAAAATATCCGTTAAAGCAATGAACACGTTTTGTCAACCACACTATGATGCAATTGATATTAAGTGATCGTGCTACTTTAAGCTTAATTTGTATGAACTTATTGTAGGGATAACTGTTTTTGTGAGACTATAATTTATGGACGAACATTGAGCAACGCTTAAGAGACCTTGAGAATGTCCCTCCTCTTACTAAGGCTAAATGATAGTTATAAAGGAGGGTATGTAGTGTAAGGATTATGATATGCAGTTGATAGTTAAGGTTACGAAACGCATTTATAGTTTTCATCACGGACTGACATCAGTTAAAATGCTAAGACTTTATTTATACAATTGGGTGAGTGAATTTTAAGTGGAAATCCGAGATCTGTCATCGTGAATCTGATTAATTCGTGCATAGATGAAAGTTTCGTCAATGCTTTATGTAGATGAAGAGATACAACATAATTTATATGTTGAAAATTGAGATTGTTCGAAAAGAAACAATATTCTAAGTTAGAACATCATCGAATGTGTTCTTTTCACAATGACTTAACAGTTATATGTGTGTTGGTTGGCTGCAATTAAACGCAACTCAATTTCGTAAATTTGCCCTTCAGCTTAGCAACCAATCAGAATGAGGCGGAATTGTTACATCCGCCATCTCTGTAAGCAACGGCGGTCGACTTTCTTCGTTCTGTGCTTCTTTCAGCTAATTCTTTTGTGTAGCTATGTAATTTAATGTCTCAGTGTGCTAAAATGCCTCAGTTATTGTAATGTTCTATATGTTAATGTGAAGTTTATTTCGAATCAGCGATGTTTCCTGGGTTTTTCTGCTTCTACTCAAGTCAATGTATTTCTTCGGGCAATCTGGCTAGTCTTGTGTTATAAAATGTCGGCCGGCTTTCTTCGTTCTGTGTTTTTTCCGCTATTTCTTTTGTGTACTTACAGAATTTGATGTTTTAGTGTGCTAAAATCCAGAAGTTAGTGTAATACTCTGAACGTTGAAGCAAAGTTTTCCCTGATTTTGCTTTGTATTCTAGGTTTTACCTGCTGCTAATGAAGTCACTGTATTTATTCAGCTAAGCTGGCTAGTACTAACATAAGACCTTACGTTTTTAAACGACAATCGGTTATGTTTTACCTTGTTTTCTAGATATCCGAAGCCGAAGTTCGTTTTTATTTAGCTAAAATAATTGTTGCTGCCGCATGTGACTCTAACTGTTCGCATGTTCGTTCCTAACTGTCCTTTATGATGTTATCGGCAAAATGAAAGGAAACAATCTGAGTTTTTTAATTTTCTTCAGTTTTATGGACAACACTATCCCACCAACGAGTCAAACTAACACAGTGCCCAACAGTAGGGTATATCGGTACTGATTTCGAAAGGACCCAGACTTCCGACAACTATAGGTGAAGTTACAGATGCTACCAATGCTGAATGATTAACAACAATCATCATTTACTAATTCATATGTAAGGTTGTCATCAATATACAATAATTCTATGCTTTTATAGTAATTTGAGATTGTAGTTATCTACTTTCATCAAATAGAACGCGATTGGTGTAATGAAAACAAGTAATAATATGAACGATTGTACCACGGGTTGTTCCACCGTACGTGCTTGTTCAACTGTACCAAAACACATACGTCCTTGCGTTGATTGTGATCTTGCACGCATTTAAGTTTGCTCAGTGATTCCACTTGTACTCCTTTGACACGATCTCGGTATTCTGTCGATACCACCAGGTCGCCAACAAATATATCTCGCTACAACCTCCAATTGCCTTCTGATATCTGATACGCAACCTTCTCGTACTGGTGATCATAGTCAACCGCGACTCGACTCCACACTACAAGATAATGGCTTGTGTCAACTGTCACTAGCTCTTATCTTTCTAATTACAATATCCGTTAACTGTTAAACCACATTAATTCATGTAATTTTTAACTGAACTCATTGAACAGTGTTTTACCTCAGTGCACTTGAAAACTACTGTATAAATGTATGATAACTGAGAATATTCACGTTTTAACTGAACTACAGTGAATGATTTCTAATAGATAAATAGTATAAAAAGATATTTGCGTTGTGTCTTACAACCAAACAACACAAGTAGATGACATTAGACGAATAACACGCGACCACGACTATCGAGAATAATAATCTATTTTTGAAAATTAGCTCGATTCTTACTTTCCCTAAACGAAAAGGAAGAATACATGACCAATGATAACCAGTATATGATCGTTATCACATCTCAAACATTCATTTATCTACATATATGAGCAGACTATTCAGCAGACGTTTTAAGTACCAGTATTACGAAGCAATATCAACAACAACAAGCTTAATCATGGGAACAATGAGGTGGTGTGAATACAAGCAATCGATACTAGTTTCTTAGTGAAAAACGCCATAGAAACAATTTACGATTCAAATAAGAGCTTCGAATCAGTGTAATACGAAAACAATCAAACCAAAATAATCGATAAACATTCAATCGGCATATATAATTAAAGACGTTGGAAAATAGTGTCGAAACCTTTTGCCTCTTATTTAATTTGTCTGTTAGAAAAACGTGATAACTAATCAATTAGTAAGCTGGTTTACTTGATTTCAGTCTGAGTGTAAATATTTTCATGTAGTTGTGTTGTTTTGTGCGTTGATAAACATCTAGAAAGCAGTACAAAGCGATGGATATAACCATTGTTTAGTTTCAAGTACAGCTAATCACCAATATGCTGTGGTTTATTGTTGAGATTTCTATTTTACTATTCGTCGTTAGTCATATGACTAATCTTACAAATAATGATTAAGTCCCATTTACTTAGTGTTTATGAAGTCATTACATTCTACATTTAATTGTGTCTTCTCATATAAAGTTATGAGTGAATGGATCAATATTACAAATGCATTGTTCGTTCTTTCGTTTGTAAAAGACTAGTTTGAAACACTAGCGAGAAGAAACCATCTAAATTTTCGGAAAATCCAACTTTGATTATTTTCAATGAATTGTGTGGTATTTTTTATCGAAATTATGCATTAAATTGGTAGCTATTTATTTACTTAAACACATGAACATTATTACAAATAGTTATACTGCCCAGGTGACCAAACCGAGGCAGGTGATTTCCTTAGGGGACCACACCCGGCGCCGTCGACCTAAAGTTCTGGCCTACAAAGCAGTGGAGCAACGTCAGGCGATGCAGTCTAGTGGTAGCCGGTGACCAATGATTGGTTCATTCTGAAGCCCATTTGCACCACTGACTTAGAATTAAGGTTTCCCAACTCCCCTTGGTGAACTCTCCGTGTCCACCGTATATTCGCTTTTCGTTCAGTCAATTACGTAAACAACAGTTACGCCGCGAGAAGGCAGCGAGTAGGAATTCTCTGGTAGTGGTTGTATGAACGTGGCCATGTGGGAGCATTTAGAGAGGGAGAGCTGACTCTCCCCACTCTCGGCCATACCAGGGCATTTGGGGACGAATTAGTAGCTAAGCACCAACTCACAACGTTAAGTAGTATAATATTTTATTCTTTAAGACCTAGGATTATTTTGCAGCCTAACTAGAACTCCGTGTTTAAATAACGTCATATAATGGACCCATAGAAAGCCAGATATGATTAAGTATTCAGTGATTGGTCGTCTCGTTCCACAATAATATAGTTACATCATATGCATTGAAGCTGATTGCGTAAACATTGTTTTCAGAAAAAGTATTTTGCTGTGATTGTTTGTTGAATCATAACTCTATTGATGTGTCACATTTGGTTGTGGGTGAAAAAGAACTGGGTGTAATAATGAATGTGATATTATCATACCATTGTAACTCAAAGTCCAGTTTTTCAGTTTAGTATATTTATGAAACAATGGTTATATGATAATTGTTGTATTCGAAGAAATACGTTCACAAGATTTGTTTAGATATGCTTACGTCTGTGTTGTGTATCGCTTCATTGGTAACCCTTCTCGATGCTCATATTTCAATAAAGAAAGAAAGATTTGAACCATTGTCAGATGACATCATCTCGTATATCAATCAACATGTAGGTTCTTTTTTGTAGTAATGTTGTAAATGGCATACATTTTACAGTGATGTATGTTCTAATTGTGTATGATCGGTTGGATTAGAACAGATCTACTACCTTATAATGTAAGTAGCTTGTGTACGGAACGAGATTTGATTGAGGAGAATGTGCAATCAATCAGATGATTCCTCCTCTTTACAACTAGAATTCATCTATAAGTTATTTAAAATGACAGGTTACATTGTTTCGTACGCCATCGGCCTAATACTGATTTCATTTCATATATCTAAGTTCAATACAACAACTGACAGTTGAAAAAGGAACAAATCTAAATCTTCATATTCGAATTCCATTTTTAGTTCAACATTGTCAGAATTGTTTCTCATTCAATCATGATTTCAACTTTTTCATTCTTCAGCCAAATGCTGAATGGAAAGCTGAGAAAAGCAAACGTTTCCACTCACTGGATGACGCACGTATTCTGATGGGTGCAAGAAGAGAGGAACCAGAATTAAGAAAGAAGAGACGTCCCACAGTTGACCATAATGATTGGAATGTAGAAATTCCATCAAGTTTCGATTCAAGGAAGAAATGGCCTCGTTGTAAAAGTATAGCGACCATCCGTGATCAATCACGATGTGGATCGTGTTGGGTGAGTTATAATGATCGCATAATTTGAAAAACGTAAACACTGTTAGTATAACAATGATTATTTCCACACATCAGTGAGTTTGTAGGAGATCTCATCAAACGTCAGACAGTATCAGAGTCATATTATCTAGAGAAATTGTTTTTTTGAATGCTGTATGACGTCAATGTTGAGTATCACATCTGTGAACATATGTCCGGTGACTAAAATAATTAGCGAAACAAGTCATGTTGAACTGAAGAGGCTTTCAAATATTGACCACTCATTCCACGTAAATACACTAGGAAAATCAGAACGTTTTGATGTTGTCATTGCTTTTTTCCAGGCTTTCGGTGCTGTCGAAGCCATGAGTGATCGAACCTGCATACAATCACGTGGCAGACAATCTGTGGAACTAAGTGCTGTGGATCTAGTGAGCTGTTGCGAAGGTTGTGGATTTGGTTGTGATGGTGGATTCCTTGGTCCTGCTTGGGATTATTGGGTAGAGGAAGGTATTGTTACTGGAAGTTCGAAAGAGAATCACACAGGCTGTCAACCATATCCATTCCCAAAATGTGAGCATCATACCAAAGGGAAGTATCCTGCATGTGGCGAAAAAATCTACAAAACTCCTCGCTGTAAACAGACATGTCAGAAAAGTTACAAAATCCCATACGCCCAAGACAAGCATCGAGGTAAGTGGTGTGTTTTAGAATATGATGACAATTTATCATGAAAACGTTGACTTGTCACTCACATAGATTGATCACAATATATTGTCAGAGTTGCTTAGAAATGATGCTTCTACATGTGAAATAATCATTTTTGAGATTACTTTTGGAAGTTCTCTATTGAGTGATATCAGTCTCATTTTCATCATCGCTTTATTCATCTGTTAGGCAAATCATCCTACAATGTTGCTGCTTATGAATTGTCTATTCAAAAGGAAATCATGAAGTATGGACCAGTAGAAGCATCCTTCACAGTTTACGAAGATTTTCTAAATTACAAATCTGGGATCTATGAACATATTACTGGAGAACCAGTTGGTGGACATGCCATACGTATAATTGGATGGGGTGTGGAAGAAAACACTCCTTATTGGTTGATAGCGAATTCGTGGAATGAAGATTGGGGTGAAAATGGATATTTCAGAATACTACGTGGTCATGATGAATGTGGCATCGAATCCGAGGTAACAGCTGGTCGGATTAAGTAATTACACTATCTTTAAACATTATCATAAAATGTTACTTAGAGTGAAGTCATTACAAATGTATACTGAATACTTCTGAGAAACGTTCCATATTCATATTATCTTTTCATTCATTTTATATTATAAATAAACCGTTGCGAACTCTAACTAAACTCTTTACTGAATAAATGTCTTTGTTAGGCGTATTATCGTTACAAGACGTTTATCCAGATTAACAAAGTGACTAAAAGATGAATTATTTTAGACGAACGACTAAACCGTTATCTATGTGCATTCATTGAACGACTCCATGTTCATTCCACTTACGTGTTTATTCAGTTGAATTCATGCATTTAATATCACAAGTCTTAATCAAATTTAGAAAACACCAACTTCAAGAATCGAATCTCTTCTCAACCTGGTGAGTGGTACGTGTTCTCACTAGGTTAAATGGAAATTAATCATTTCCGTCTGTGGAAATTCCCCATGCATTAGTTTAGACTTGTAAGTCGCATTAGATTGTTAGCGATGAAATCTTGTAAATAGAAGTACAACTGTACTGAACTATAACACCAGTGGGGACAACTGAATGTAATTGAATACAAAATCATAGAATCACATAGTAAAATCTGAGAACCATGAAGTAAATAGTCCATTTGCAAAATGCCAATCCAATTGTCTCAAACTTCATTGTTCCTTCGATTCCCACCAATCATTCTCTAATCTCGTTCTCTTTTCTTCCATCGTCTTAACATTTCACTTTAGATTGGCACCTAAGAATGGGAGCTACCAAGATTTATTGATTGTCTGCTAAGTTAAACTGATTAAGTAGACACACAGCATGCAACTGTTTTTTGCAGATAAGAAATGTGTCATCCATTAATCTATAATAATGTGTAGTTCCTTCAATTGCATGCTTAAGCTTTATCTAACCCAGGTTCTTCATAAATATATCAGTCGGAATTGGGTCCACGGCCCTACCCATGGAGACTCTATCAACTTGACCGGACAGTACATTGTTGAACCGAGTGTTTACTTTTGGTACCCAAGAATGGGAGCTGCTCAGACTTATTAATTGGGAAGTGAAGAGTACAGGATATTGACATACGATTCCGGCTGTTTATTCCATAAACATCATTATAAACAGAGTAGTGATGTCAAAAGATACCATGAATATATCGGAAAAATTTAAGTTGTCAAGCCTCTGTAAAAATTCGAAACTAGCCTTCAGACTGTAGGTAGCTTACTTCTTGCAGACTGGTCCTAAACACCATGTGAACCAGCAGATGATTTTGTGTAAAACTGATCTAGTCATAGATAATAATGACCCGACCCGGATGTCAGATTTCAAAATTGTTATTATTATTCTATCAGTGTGTTCTGTTATGAGGTTTTATCCAAACCAATTCTTACGTTATATACTTCAAAACGATCTCGTCACCGATCTTTTTCAGCCACTCAACTCTCAAAACTTAAGTAAGCCCTTCAAATCCTGTCTGGTTTTTAGGGAATCCATCTGGCTAATTTCTAGTCCTAAACAACTACCAACTGATAAATATCTCATCAGTTGGTTTGAATCTTACGTATACTCTTTGCGACTTCTTTAATTATCACACGATTTATCTTATATATTTCCAAACATCGCTTAATTACTGCCTTATCCACTCGCCTGTTTTTAATTCTATCTTCCAATGACCTTATAATTGTGCTGGCATAAATACATCTATGTAGTTATTGCTGATAATCTAAGTCATTGTAATTTTTTCCGTTATCAGTCTGAAATATTGTTGGGATATTCAGTAAAATATCCTAAAAATTATTCTATTAAGTCTAATGCTATTCTTGGACTTGGAGATGGTATTATTTTCTTATTGGTCAGTACTTATTTCACGTGTCATTTTCCTACTGGTCAATATTGTAAAATGTTATTTTCTATTTTATCGTTCCATGTGGTCTGTTTGATTAGTATATAAACAGAGTGTGTTTGGAATATAATTATTCATTTATTTGAGGCTGAGACTTGTGTTCTGGACTCAACTGACTGGGCTAGACAGGGGAGCGGGACCAAACAGAACCCTAGGCCGTTCTACGTGTTTGTGCGTCTTTGGTCCGATCAATAATTCGCTGTCCTCTAATCTGCCGTCACAGTTATAGCAATTGGCGACGGGGTGAAAAAAATACAATCCAAAGTCATTCTGTAATTGGACGAAATCCAGTCTAATTATCCAACCAATCAGTATCCAGATTGTCATCAGTGTCCTTCAACGACATTGATCGTCAGTTACACAGTAATTTTCATTTACGCTGCTGATTCAAAGAAAAAGTGGCTTTCCCTTCCGATCGATTACAGCTGCTCTTCGAACGATATTTGAAGTTATTAGTCAAATTCTGCACGCAGCTGCTAAATCACTCATTCTATGAAGATGCGACGGAAGTGGATGGATTGATATCTCAATTACACAGTGAGCTGGAAAATGATAGCACCCTCCATTAATCCTCGATAAACTGTACTTCAAACGAAACGACAGTCATCCATGATGCGCCCGGTGATCCAGTACTTTCTATTCCAGAAACATGCCCGGTAATGGATTCAAACTCCATTACCCCCGAAACAGCATGTACAGACAGTAGCGTATCCAGCATACGAAAAGATCCGATTGTTTTGCTAGGAAATGTGTCTCACGCATCGAATAATAATCAAGAGTCTGGTATGGCTTTCTTGGACGCGGATTACCATCGTCTTTGTTCATAGTTAGCTTCAAGCAACTATAACGAGTATTAAACAGTAACGAGTTATCGCCAAAATGTTGGCTTAATATTTGAACTGTGTCTGCAAATGATCGGTCACGTGGGTTCAAAGGCAGGATCAGATTGCAGTACTTGTCCAGCTCATTTACACCCAGTTTACGAAGTAGCAGCCGCACTTTCCAAGCATCATCTTGATTGGCGAAATCAAATTTAAATAGATCTTCATAAAGCCTGAACCACATCTCAAAAGTAACATTAGAATCAGGATCGTAATGAAATTCAGCTATGCTATTTGCGATGCCATCTACCGATGGTGCCGTGGTTGAACTAGACGTGCTTGGTTGTAAATGAGGCGCAACCTTGGTCTCCATCAACATTTGCATCAATTTCAGCTGCTGCTCAAGTAATAGTTCATGTTTGGCAGGGTCCATAATTTAAAAATCACCGTCGCCAATTTGTTATGGTTCATTATTGCTTGAATGTTATAACTGATTCGTATTACTCGAACGGAACGAAGGATCAATGATTCAGCGACTCGATAGCTATTCTGGTTCCTTGTCCTCAACTCTGCTAACTCGATCAAAAAGTCTGGGTAAGGTGCAGAAAGTGTATCCTACATACAAACAGTAGATACCAAGTCAGGTCAAGCACACAATCAAGCGGATTTATACAAATATTTACAATCGATATTGTCATGGAAAATTTTTAAACATTAATCAATCAGTTCATTAAATGACGTATTTACGTATTTAATCGATAGTTTATCAATTGACCCCAATACAAATATTTAGCATCTAATCGATAAGATAAAATTTAAAAATACGAGTTTAGGGATCTATCGTCCCCAACAAATATTTCACATGATATCATACCTTAATATTACACTGTATACATATGAGTGGTGGTAAGCAGCTAATATTATTCATTATTATTATTATTTGAACACATACATATCGGTAAAAAGAGGCATCAAATACATATGCGCTACACAAGTAACTTGATTCGTATGTGCTCTGTAATACTGCACAGGTGCCCAGACCGAAGCACGTGGTTTTCTTAGAGGGCCACACCCGGAGTCTTCGACCTTAAGGTTTAATCGTCAGGGAAGTGGAGCAACATTGGAAGATGCAGTTCCATAGTAACCAGTGACCAACGACTGGTTCATACGCCATTTGTTCCGTCAGGTTCCTGGAGCCAGCCCATGTGCACCACTGGTTTGGAATCAGGGTTTTCCAACTTCCCTAGGTGGACTCTACGTGCCCACCTACATAGTTAAAGAGACAGACATTCGCTTTTCGTCTTCTTAATTTCGTAAACAACATCTCCAACACGAGAAGGCGGTGTATAAGACTTATCTGGAATTGGTTGTATGCACGTGGCCACTTGAGAGCATTTCGAGAAAAAGAGCTGATTCTCTCTCGTCTCGGCCGTACCAAGTTACTTAGGGGCCAAATAAGCATACGAGTATGCAACCGTAAACTTGCTCATTAAAGTTTTTGAAATAAACACTAGTATCTTAACCATCATTAAAATGTTAGATTCTAAAATTCTTTTTAGGAAACACTTTTATGTGACCAAGATTATCTCAAAATAAAAGTATATACTACTGACTTATGAAATTCTAACAATTTTCATCCAAACTAACTAGTACGATGTTTATAATGAAATAAAACGTCCAATAACCAATATTTTTTTCTTTCCAAGTATGTCAGAATTGTAGAAGACATCTAAATTGATCGATTAATTTCTTTTCAAATAAGTACTGTGTAAATAGTTTATAATACTTTGGAACTATTGTCTTGTGTCACGATGAAAAGCCTTCAATCTTATAGAGAATGAAAAACTCATTATTGGTGAAAAGATATAAGAATAAATTTGTAATTGTTATAAGATTCCACTTGAAATTTGTGTTGAGAATAACTGTCAGTGGTTGGTAAGTATTCTACGCTTATGTCAAGTAGATTACCTAGAACCTACACTACACAAACCATGTTGGCACCATCGAAAGCCCACTACCATCTTCTTTCATCTTATACACCAAAAAATCAGTCCTGGCATTGGTTCAATTTCAAATTGATGAACATGTTAAGAGTTTAATGTTCGAATAAAAAACACACCAATGACGCATAAACTACTTCATGCGTACAGTTTTCTCAACGGTAACACGATTTTTACAATTGGATGATCATTAGGTATTGACTAATGCCATGTATTTCAAGTCCTTCTTCGTGTTAATCAAATCCTATCGGCAAATTTGAAATGTAGCTAATTAGTCTAGGTGACGCTACATCGCTTGCATTATGTCGAGATGTAAAGAGGTGGTTAGAGATAACGATCGATTTAAGAGCCAACTGTGCTTAAAACAATTGGTTCTCTTCATCATCATATCAAAATACGCCAATAAATTGAGAATCTCCCGTGTTAGGTAGGTGACCATCTATAAGAACATAAATAAAATTTTATGTAAATGACTCAAATTCAAAACTTTTGTAATACGTTTTTTACAAGTTTAGTTCTTATTCAGGACTTCCTTTCATAGCATATATATATAATCTATTCAGTCCATTTATGTAAACATTCAACGTTGGTACAAACATAATACAAACGCATATTTTCTTCCGCTTTCAATGTCTGTGATTGAAAAAATACAGCTTCTTGTTTACCGCATCGACGACATATATGATCTTCTGTTCGAGGCAGTGTTGGATCATGAACAACATCCGGTACAATTAAAGCCAATTCACTTTAGATGGATAAAAGAAATACTATTTTATTTAAAAAAATATTCCATGAATAAATTAACAGGAAAAGTTTATAATTTGAAGTTGTACATTTCATAATACAATTTTACACTGACAAGACTATCAAACTGCTAGTGAGTATACCTCCGCTGGTCTAACTACCCTGTTAGCAGAACATAAATTGTATGAAATCATGCTCAGTGCACGATTGCTTTGGCGAACGCTGACCGGCTAATTCCTATCCAATCAGCACTAGTCGATACTTGGAGAACACTATATGATCTTCTCATGCGAAAACCATAAATATACTAACGTTTTTCCTACTGTGCTTCTTACTTCCACCTTTATCCATTCTGTCATGCAACAAGTAGGATAAGGCACGATTCCCCCATTCCATCTTCATCTGACAGCAACCGGTTCCTCCACCCATCACTTGAGGCAAACATTTTGTGAACTGTGAAAACGTTTCTGGACTTGGATGTGGCTAGTGGCAGAACAGTAAAGAAGATTGTCCTGCATGCCCTCAAACGCCCTGGTATGGTGGCGAGTGGGCAGAGTCAGCTCTCCCCCTCGAAATGCTCTCACATGGCCACGTGTCTATAGCCTCTGCCAGAGAAGTCCTACTCACTGCCTTCTCGCGAAGGAGGGTGTTGTTTACAAAATTGAGAGGAAAAAAAGCGAATATCCAGCGCTTTAATTGGGTTGGTGAACACACAGTCCACCTAGGGAAGTTGGAAAACCCTGATTCCAAACCAATGGTGCACATGGGCTGGCTCCAGGAACCTGAAGGAACAAATGGCGTATGAACGTTTTATTGGTGACCGGCTACCATGGGATTGCATCTCCTGACGTTGCTCCACTACCTAGTTGATTAGACCTACAGGTCGAAGGTCCCCTGTTTCGGTTTGGGTACCCGGGCAGTATCCCAGGTCTAACACAAATCCAATGGTTTATGTGGAGCATATCTATTTCGTGCCTCTTTGTGCCAATGTTTATGTGCTTAAATAAATAAATTGTTCTACGTATATCGAAAGTCGATCTTTGACACCTTTGAAACCATCAAGACAAAACTTTGCATTCATCAACAACATAGTAGTGTAAGGAATCCTGAGTTACACTACTTTTATGTTTTGACATTAAAGAGACCATGATTTTTGAGTGACCGATATTTCACTAACAATCTCTTTGGTATTTTCCAAACCATCATTATTGGATGAAAAGTGTTGATATATGATATAGTCAGGCGGTATGACATGATTGTGTGAAGTTAACAGATAATGGGGCGGTATGGTCAGTCAGGTGGAGTCTCTGAAGTTGTGAAACTAATTAACTTGAGACTCCATCAGTTGATGCAAAATAGAATGCAGAGACGAACAAGTTAAACAAATAATGTGATTCGTCTCGGAATTGCACTAAGCATTGGTTATATTCACACTGGAATCCCGTCACTGTCAAAATAGTAGTCATCTGATGCGATTTCTTCTCTTCTAAATACATTGAAACTACTTTAACAAGATATGTGTGAGTAAAATATCATATCATAAGAATGCTAGTAAGTAGAACAAATAAATAAAAACGACTCAAAACAGTGGTGTGGATACTTACTCAACTTCCTGTTCGAGTTTGTTGATATAAACACAGGGATTGTCTGCTTCCTGGGAATAATCACAGTTACGACATGCGTAGTATAATGTTTTTGTACGCTTATCCTCTTTAGGATACAACATGTTGTTGCATTCACTGCAGAACAAAATCCCAACATGACACTGGCTTGATTTCACATCATACTAAAATGTAAGTTAGAAAACGCTATCAGTAGAATATTCTGAACATACGGTTTCCATCTTTACTAAATCAATCCTTCAAGCGTACTTCTCGAAGAGGCTAGAAATTCCAATCAAGTAACTACAAGATTAATAAATCAGACAACCACAATTTATATAACTAAACTGCGAAAATTGACAAGACATTTGATAAACACCTAATAATATTATAAATAATTTATTTGATAAAGTTAGTCAGTTTTAATCAACGTAAAATCTAGTATATATATGTGCGTTGGTTCTAGTTGTGACACAAAATTAGCGGTGAGGTAAAATTACCATGAGATATCCCATTGTAGTAGTAGTAGGAAAAGATGGAATAAGATTTCGGAATTCAGGAGCTAAGAGAAGATAAATAGTGAATGCATTTGCGTCGCTCAGGATGATTTTGATCCCTGTCACCGAAAATCTCTAGCTATTGATTACAATAAACGTGTGAACACCAACCTACATGGCTGTTAGGCAGTTAATGATTTCATGGATTAATACAACGTTTTAGTTTGGCTACCCCAAATTTTCATCCAACCGGTCTCTGCACCATGCATCATCGCACCCCAAGGTAGGTAGTAGTTGTGCGTACGTAATAGATTTTTTGAGGAGACATGCATGACAAGCTTATTTTGTAAATAATTTATAATGTTATTTGTATTTATTTTGGCAGTTTTTCACTGTATGTACATCTATCATTAAATGGCTGTATGTGTTGTTTAAGTGAATGACCTTGAACACACTTTCCGTTGCGTAACTACATAGCGTGACATACTGTGGCTTGTTAACAAATACATTGCTACACACATATCCCTCGTTCTATTTTCGTTTGTGATTGAGTTAAATGAAATCTAAATCAAATATTTCTTACATTTATAGACTGTGAGTGGGAATATACCATACCTTACATTGGATAACACTACTGGAGAGTTCGTCAACCCGGTTGGAATTACCAAGCATTTATAATTGTGTATTTACTTTACCAGACTAAAGCTGAACAAGCATCAATTTGGTGAACTTAAGTAAACTCCCAATTTTTTATTGTATTTGTAACAATTAACTGGTATATCTTAATATTACTATTGATGTTCAATAGCTTTGTTGATACTTTCAAGATTATACATTGTCTGGTCCACCACAATTCCAACTAATTCGGTTGATCAATATTCACTGCATTAGCAGCCGATGTCTGATGCCGATTTCTAAAAGAGTGTCTGTGACGAGATTAGATGAAAATGGAGAGTCTCAACGAACACCGCTCAAGGTTGTCGATTGTCATGACAGCTAACCATAAGCTCTAACTCAATCAGAATCTTGTAAACAAACAACCTGTACAAGGTTGATATACTCCTTTGGCACGCTACTTAATGTCAAACTGCCAAGGAAACTCTCGACCACAAGTTTAACGTTCACTTAAGGTTGTCTACTATTACCTATCTCGGTTATCTTTTCCGCCAACTTTCCTTTGGAGAAAATCGACCTCCAAAATGGTGGTCTTGTGTCCTGTTAGAAGTAGGAGGATATTTGTCACTTGCCATTTACACACACTACAGGAAAGCACTTTGTGAAGAATGTGAATGATGGACTAGATTAGTAGTGGTCTTAGCGACCTAAAAGCCTGATCAAAAAGCCGAAGATACAACTGCATGAGTCCAATCACACACAACCGCTTATGAGATATTTCAGACCCGACTGTTGTTGCTACCTTGACGTGGTGGTCGGACTTGCCTATCGTGATGAAGCAACCGAGCTATACTGCCTGGAACAACCGTTCCTCAAGGTCCTACCATGTCAGACAGGTTGATTGAAGAGAGGTAAGACAAAAAGCAACAAAACCAAGGTCCGAAGGCGAAGTCGTACTGCTGACGGTACAGAGGTGTGACAGCAGAAAGGTGTTTTCGTCAGACAACAAGCATGACAGCGACGCTGTCTTCCCACAAGAAGGGGTGGGGTTAGAAAAAGTCGACCCTAAAAATGTACACCTTGCCTTATCCCACGGATATCCGTCTCCGGCGGTAAGGTCTCAACAAGTACGGAGCTAACACAAAAATTACCCATGAAAAGGTCGTGTGTGACCGACCTCAAGCAGTTGTCCCTTGGGCACTGCGGTCACGCTCTCAGGTCAATAAGACCACCCCTAATCCGGTTTCCTTTTCAGGTACCTCCAGAAGAAGCCTTCCACGGTGTGGGCAACCGGGGAGTGATAACCGTCTTCATACCTCTGACAACACCCAAGACCACTGTATTCATAATCAACCTCCTTCTTCAATTCCTATCATTGCTCCTACATCGACTTTCAACACTAAACTTCCTCTTTCGGCTTCCCGCTCAAGTGTCACCATATCCAACGATCCTACCGCGCAAAACACTGCCGCAGGTCAACTGAAACCTCACTCCAAACCACACATTGGAGCCTTCAACGTACACACACTATGTCAAACTGGTCAGCAAGCTTCCTTGGCTAAAACCCTAGATTCTCTTACCATTGATGTATGCCATGTCTTCGAAACACACATACAGTATCCTAGTGTCGTCATTCAGTTGACCTCACCTCGGCGAAACGGAGAGCCAACGAGATACACCCTCCGTGTATCTGGTGACCTGATGGCCAGTTCTCGTTCACTGACCGGTATAGGCATAGCAATAAGCATGAGGGCGGAATAGGCACTGTTAGAGTGGATCCCCGTTAACAGTCGTTTAGGTGCTGCCTGGCTAAAAGGTTCCATAAGAACTCGGAAGGATAGGGACACACGTCGTTGCCTTTTTGTCCTTTCTCGCTGTGCTCCCACTGACTGCAGCTCGGATGAAATGAAGGATGAGTTTTTCAGAAAGCTATCTGAAATTATTCAGAAAGCTAAACGTTCAGGTGACTTTAATGCCCAGATAGATAGTTTAAACCAAACAGAAAGGCATTTAGGTGGGTATTTTAGTATTCCGGCTCAGCGAACAGATAATGGTGATCGTCTGCTGCAACTATGATCAGACAATCGTTTATTTTTAGTAAACACAAATTTTAAGCATAAGGAGAGACATCGTTTAACATGGCGACCTCCTACACAGAACCAACGATTGACTCAAAATAGACCATACTGCCATCAGTCATCGTTGGAGAGGGTCGGTAGAAGATTGTCGCTCATTCTGGAGTACCTGCTTGGACTCCGACCATGCCCTGTTACGGGCACGCATCTGCTTGCGCCTCACTGGACGCAGAAAAGCCACAGTAAAAAGACCCATTAGAACTGAATTGAGTAGCGAGAAAACCAAAAGTAGGTTCCAGGAACAACTGAGGTCACACTTAGGTAGTTCTGAAAACGAGGCTGACCCAGATGTTGCTTGGAACGATATACAAACAGCTGTGGAAACAGCAGTGACATCTATCAGTGATTTAAACCACAAGGTTACAAAGAACCAATGGATTTCTTAAAGGTCTATTGCACTGACGGATTCTCGTAAACTCATCCCATCAGGTTCTGAACATGATGAAGAGCGTAAACAAATCAGATCTGAGTTAAGCAAAAGTCTAAGGAACGACCGTGAGCAGTGGTGAGCAACGAAAGCAAAAGAGATGGAAAGGGCAGTGGCAATAGGGAACAAAAGACAGCTCTACAGACTAATAAAAGAAGGTGGAATTACTAAGTCAAGTGTAAGTCAGAATATTTCGGAAAAAGACGATACTCTCACCTGCTCCCAGTCCAGACGTTTAGAACGATGGGCGGAACATTTTAGAGAACAGTTCAGCTGGCCTTTAGCTATTCTGCAACTACCCTTTATTCCCAGACAATGTGAATGGAACATTGAAGTAGGTCCCCCAACCCTAGCTGAAGTCCAAAAGGCTATAGTTAATCTGAGACGAGGAAGCGCAGCTGGTCCAGATGGATTGGCTCCAGATAATTTTAAGGATGGTGGTCCAATTTTAGCGATTAGGTTGACTAATATTTTAGCTATAATCTGAAAGTTAGATGTTATCCCATCTAACTGGTCGCAATCACTTATCGTCCCAGTACATAAAAGAGGGTCAAAATCATCCTGTGACAACCACAGAGTGATTACTTTAACTAATATAGTATCTAAAATACTAGCGTCGATAATTATCAGGCGCCTAACTAAGACTCGTGGACTGCAAACACGAGAGAACCAAGCTGGCTTCAGACCTGGTCGTAGCTGCATCGACCACATATTCACCGTTCTTCAGGTTCTAGAACACAGGCATACTTATCGACGTCCGATAATGGTGATCTTTCTTGACTTAAATGCAGCATTTGACTCTGTAAACCGCAAGATTCTGAGGCAGTGCCTGTCACTGAAAGGCGTACCCCAGAAGTACACAAAGCTTTTAAAGGCTCTTTACTCGAACACTACTAGTCGAGTCAGATCTTATGACGAACTGTCATCTACTTTTGCAACCTCAAGTAGTGTCCGTTAAGGCTGTCCACTTTCTCCTTTTCTGTTTAACTTCATGATAGACCTACTGATGGAAATAACATTCTCGTCGACTGAATTCTCGGGTATTGATCTTACAGGAGGTCCTCTTATCGACTTGGAATACACAGATGATATAGTCCTGTTTGGTGAAGACGCTGACAAAATGCAGAGTCATTTGGTAGCACTAAGCAACAATGCCGGAATGTTTGGAATGCGCTTCTCTTCCTCTAAATACAAGTTGTTGTTTCAGGAGAGGTCTGCATCAACACCTTAATTAAGGATGGGGACTGAAGTAGTCGAACGCGTTGACAACTTCACTTATCTTGGATGTCTGATCAGCCTTGATTGGGTGGTGTCGGACGAAATCTCAGCACGGATTCGAAAAGCTCGTTTGGCTTTCGTCAACATTGGCGAGGGCGAAATATCCTTCTATCAATAAAAAGACGACAATACTGCGCGGCAGTTTGCTCTGTTTTACTTTACGGCAGCGAAATATGGTTAATAAGTGTTTAAGATACTCGTAAGCCACCAGAATTTGACCACAGATGCCTTAGAAATATTGTTGGCGTCTACTGGGATCACCGGGTAGTAATAGTGAGGTTAGACTGTAGTGGCATTGGACCATAAGCACACAATCCTCAAAGCTGAACAACAGACAAATCGGGAAATGTTT